TTCAAAGGTTCACTTCAAGGTTCATTTCAACAGTCTCTTGTGCAGCCACAAGGTAAGAGCTTACCAGAAAGCATTATCACCAAGTTTAATGTCTGTGTTTGTCTCATTTTTTTATTTTATTTTTTCTCCCCTCCCTAGTTCCCATTCAGGTGGAGTGCAAGGCCCACTATTTGTTAGTCTCCGTAGACATGCCACCATCTGGTCTGAAGCCTCGTTTTGAGGCCGTTGGTGTGTTTTGCTGCTTTTGTTATATTTTAGTGGTTTTTGAGTTCTAAAGCTTGTAAGATGTCCTCACCCTATTTAACCAAATTTCTATTGTCTCAGATGCTGCAGGTGCATATTCTATTACGGAGCGCTATGCGGCTCAGTGTGGTTATACTTACTCTGTCCAGCCTCTTCAAGGTCGTGTTTTTCTCAGAGCCTCTTATTTCTCCTGTCATGTGGACAATCAGGTATAGAACATGGACTTACTTACTGGTGGACCACTTTCAGGATGGTCGTCATCTAGTTCCTGCTACTGGCTGGGATTCGTATATAATTCCGCAAAGATTCCTTGACTAAAGACTTATTCCATTACTTTTTTTTTTTTTTTTTTTTTTTTTTGGCTCACGTTTCTTGTTTTGGAAGAGCATTTCATGATCCTTTATAAATCCCAACTAAATGTACTGCTTTCTTGAGCACATTACATCAAGTGTTGGGTTTTGTCATTTAATGTCTTAAATTTGGAAAGCTATTTCAGCACCGATGCATTCTTTAGAGATTCTCTTTAATGACAGTTTAAGTGCCTTTCAGATTTGAAAGAATCAAACTTATCCTGGATTACAAATGTTATCTATGATACCTGAAGCATGAAGTGTAATCTTGAGCAAGTAACTTTATTTATTTTTTAATTCCTTCAAGATTGACAAGGTCTTCAACTTCATGTTTCGTGTGGTTCTTGCGGATCAAAATGGGCTGGAATCCTTTTTCAATGTCTCTCAGACTTGCACTATTCATACTTTCTCTCCAAGAGAAGTTGTTTGTGAGGAGAACTACCTGGAGGTATGAGTTGATCTTTATGTAATGCTTATGTCCTACCAATCTTAAACCCTTGCTTCTCAATCATCTAGGTGTCTGTGAAGGCGGAGATGCCTTGCCTTTCAACTAGCATCATGAAGGCAGAGTTCTCTGAAACCCATGCTGTGGTGGGTAGTTTGCTCTTGTCCAAGTCTTTCAATTAAAGAGACTTTGGTTCCAATTGCTTTTCTCTCTTCCAGGCCCACAGTTCAGCAGTAGAGGCCTGGCAGGTTATTCTACAACAAGAGGGACAACGATCCAAAGTTATGTCAACAGAAGAGGCTGCTTCTCTGGGGTACACTGTAATGGGCACATCTGGCAGACTTGTTTTTCGGACTGCCTATGGTCAACCTCATGCAACTGTCAAAATGGTATGGAGATTTGATTTGAACTGATTGGTCTGTTCCTTAACTTTGTTTGCACTAACATTTGACTATTGCATCAAACTTAATTCAGGTCAATGATGTCGCAGTTGAAGTGATCCATGCCACAGTGTTTTTCAGACAGACCTGGATGGTGGTCATGATGGACCTAGTTGCATCGTGCTCAAGGGGTAACGACCACTTGTATTAGTCATTTGCATTACTGAAAGGCACAATGAATTCAGGTGCTTTATTTCAGCATTGCTTGTAATTCCAGATGAAGGTCGTTTTGATGGCTTCAGACTTCAGTGGAGAACTCCTGCAATAATGACTCCACTGGCTGTAGGACTTCCTGTCTTGAGGACAGAGTACATGGCCATAGGTGTTGATGGTGAGATTGTGGATGAACTGCCTGCAAAAGAGCGTGGCTACTCTGTGATGGTGGTTGGGAATACTGTAGAAAGTAGCATCCCCTTTGGCGCTGAGGGAGGGTACAGAAAGGTATGAGTCTGCATCACTTATGATCCAGAAAACTTGTGGATTTTACATTTTTAATCCATCTCTCTTTCAGAGCTTCATAATGGATAATGTGTATTATGAGATCTACACTGTCCAGCTGGCCTACCAACAAACGTATGTGGACCAAAGTGGTATGGTGACTAAGAAAAATGTGGTCCGGCAAATTTCCAGTCCACTAGTTCCTCGTGTTCTCTACACCGTTAACAGTGAGTTGGAATTTTCTTGCATTAAATCCTAATTTGTACTTTATTTTAATTAACTGTACTGCCTTTCCAGAAACCAACATTGTGGAAGAAGTTTTCACCATCTATCTGGGCAATGTACCTACTGATGTGGAACTGGTGGCTATGGAGTTTAATGGACAGGAGATCTCTGTACTGACTGCCATCCAGATGGGCTATTCTGTCACTAGAGTCTCTGAAACAAATTTAACCTTTGCATACATCATTAGGGTGCCGTTTCAGGACCAGTTTGTTGTGAAAAAGGTGAGTGGGTATAGAACTGCAGCTCAAAGAAATTACATTTTTAGTGGGTGCTACAATGGTTATGCGGGCCACATTAATGTAAATCAAATTTAACCAAATTTTTTTTTTTTTCCCCCCCCTTTACGGTGTCTTAAGTTTGTTTCAGAGGGTGTTTTTGAGTACGCGTTGAATGTTAAATGGACTTTGAACATCCTTCCTCAAATGGAGACATATTACCACTATTCCTTTGTGTCTGCTGTGGTTATTAAAGCCTGTAAGAACCTTTAATTCAGGTTTTTCATTCAAATTAAAGTTGTCTGCTTTGCACTGATGGCTTTTCAACTTTCAACAGCCCCTCCAGTCTTTGAGAGCACGTGTGCTGCCAACGGCGTAAGCTTCAGGAAGGAGCATCGTGGCTATGATCATTTGTGGGACTTTGCTGTTGGGCGTCACAGACTGACCCCACAACTGATGTCAGAGCGTGGATATATCGTGACCAATGATAGCAGCGCCTTAATAATGGATATCCCTCTATTTACAGCTGGATACACATATGAGGTCTGTTAAGCACTTGCAGGATTTAAAGAGTGCCCCCCTCTCTCTTCCCCCTCAATTGCCCTTTCAGTGTCTGCCTGTAGATAACCTTATGGACCTTACTTTGTTACAGGATATTACTCTACAACAGTTCTCTGCCAAATTTGAGATTTTCACAAGAAATGCTAAGACGCTGGAAACTGTGCAATCCTCAGCTAGACGCTGTCTCTTCCAAACCACAGAGCTCTTGGGTAATGGTCCTGGTGTACTTGTGAAGTGTCTTTTGTTGAATATTATGGGTCTTAAGCTTGAGTGGTGGTTTGCATGCCATTTTTAAACTGTTACTGTCTTGTAGTGTGCTCTCCTGAGGGTGTTATGACTGTAGTGAGCGACATCACTAAAGCAATACCTAATGCAGACCCTGCCCGAACCACGCTATTAGACCCAAGCTGTGGACCCAAAGAAACTGATGAGAGGAGAGTCTTGTTCTCTTTTGGCCTTAACACTTGTGGCACTAGAGTTGAGGTGGGTTTTATTTATTTATTTTTGTAGTTTGTATATACTATTGAGGTTTCGTAAAATCTAATTGCATGTTTTTGCACTTCAGATTGATCAGCGGTATGTGACTTATGAAAATGAAATAAAGCTTCATGAGGTATATTCCTCTGACGCAAAGCCAGTCATCACTAGAGATGCTGCGTACAGGTATATTTTATTATTATTATAGGAACTTGAGTAAACTTACTATTTTAAGGCTTCTGTGTTCTAAAGCTGTAGGTTTGTAGTGATAGTGGAATGGAGCTTTCTAAAGCGGTGAACTATTCAACTCTTGTATTGAGTCTTTTGCTCTTTACAAATCAGTGCTTGATTAGGACCTCTGCTGTTAAAGTGTGGAAAAGCACTTGCAATGTTCACAACTGACCAACTTAATGTAATCTACCAATCACAATTTAAACCATTTAGTTTACATAAGGCATGTTTTTATAACACCACCAATGACTGACTAGTAAAATAAGTTATTCAAAGCCATTGTATCCCAACTGGTCCTACTCTATTGAGCAGAGCAGGGATTTAATCAGTAATTCTTGCATGGGAGGTGAATGCTATAAGGCTTCTGCTGGCCTTATGCACTAAACGACATTGCAGAGGCTTGGTTTGGTTAAAGCCTTACTAGTTAATTGCATTTTAGTTGAGTTACTGGTGTGTGGGACTAGTGCAGTGCTTTATGAAATGATAATGGGTAATGATTGCTTAATCATACTATACACTTAACCCACGAGGCTGTCTAATCATTTCAAGCAGTCACATGGGTTTAGTTGAAAATGAGGATGTCCCTTATATATGATTCTGGCAAAATCAAGCTCTGATTGTTCATGTGCCACTTATCTCTCTCTACTTCCTCCAGGGTGATTGTGAAGTGCATTTACCCAGTACGTTACCTTGAAACCCTTTCAGTGGACCTGAGGTTCAAAGTTGATGTAGCTGGAATTGGAGTAATTCAGTCTGTTATGGGTAAGTTGAAAATCTTGTGTCTGAACTTAATTTGACTGCAGTAAGTCATTTCGTTTTTTCTCTTTCAGCTCCTCCTAAAATTGTTGAGACTGTGCAAGTTCAGGAAAGTGCTGTGTATCGCCCATCTTTTCAGGCAACTGTTATAGAAAAACCAGTGCAAGTCCAGGAAAGTGCAGTTTTGCGTCCATCTTTTCAAGCAGCCATTGTTCAAAAACCAGTGCGAATCCAGGAAAGCACTGTTTTGCAGCCATCTTTTCAGACATCACTCATACAAAAACCAATTAACTACAAGCGTATGGGCCATTTGCGCTGGTCTGAAAACAAGCATTCTCCTAGGTGACTTGTAACTTTAATTTTCATATTATATTAATTCTAATGACCCATGTAACCTATTCTCTTTCTTTCTCCCCCCCACAGGACAAAATAGAAACTTTTTAAATTTGAACTGAATAAACATCTTAAGACTTGATTTATGTGTGGTTTCATGTTTGAAATGAAATTCTAAGTACTACTTCCTGGTGTCTGTTGACTCTGTAAAAAGATGTGACCATTCTTGAAAGCTGATCTTTTAATGAGTTGTATTAAGGCTTTAAATCAAACTGTACAAGTCAGTTTAGCAAAAGTCAGTTATTGAGTATCAGTCCATGGCTTACCGACACTGTCGTGAATGGCCAAGTGAAGTCCATTTACCAAAGAGCTTCTGTTATAGAAAAGGCCACTAGTTTCTACACCATGCAGGGAGCTCCATGTCTGATGTCCAGTGTGGAGTGGTAAAGGAGTTGCTTTGGACACGATCTGAGGGTTCTGGGTGGGAGTCATGCAATTGGTGCTACTGGTTTGACATGCATGTGGAGTCTTTGTGCTTTGTAGAAAAGCTAACTGATTTTGTGACTGGACCAAATTCTGAATGAGACTTTGGGTTAGGATATGATTTTGATGGTGGGTCTGTGTTAAAATTTGTTGGTTTGGATGAGCCAGTGCTCTAGTCAGGTTAAGACCATGATGGTGGTTTGAGGTTATCTGTAACTTTTCTCTCCAATCCTCTTGCTGTTGCCGGTGAATCTTCATGTGAGCGTTTCTACTTTTGATTTTATAGAACATTCTGAAAAGACAATTTGAGATGTCAATGGGTTAATCACTAAAATTAACTAAAGTAACAAATTTTAAGTTATAGTTTTTACATGCATAATGTAGTGTACAACTAAACTAGGGCTGCACAATACTGGGAAATAAATTTTAGATTGGGAAGATTCTATTGGGGGCTACATAAAACATAATTCAAGCTATTTGTATAGCACTTGTAAGTCTTGTATAAGCATTTTAATTGAACACTATTTCTATATTAAAACAATCCACAAAAATACATTTAAAGAAAATGCTAATTAAAAATACAATGTTTTAATGTTCTGAAGAGTTAATTAATTCAGGTATACAGTAATAGAATAATCAAATGGAAAATAATACTGCATAGTCTTCATTTTAATAAACAATTCCATAAAATTGATTGTTATTAATCTTTAAAAGTTACAAAAGGTACCTTTTCTTAGGCCTGAGTTCTTTTAAAACTCACACAGGGCAAAAAAAAAAAAAAACACGTGTTAACAAAAGTTACATTGCAAATACTTGTGATGAGTGATCACATTTGTGATATCGATTCTGAAATGATATTGTACATGCAGCCCTACTTAAATCCACAGATAATTTTCATAGGCCATGTTTAACAAAAGCATGCATTTGCAAAAAGTTATGATCTTTAACATGACGAACCAATCAAATCCTTTATCACAGACAAAATAGGTCTACTGTATGTGTACTTACTTTCCACACTGTTTACAGGGAAAGCTTGTGGGAAGTGGTGCAGTATTAATCAGTCTGTCAAGATTGGCTTGATTCACAATCATCTTTGGGGCAGGAGCAACCTGTGAAAGATGAAATGGCATGTTAACAATTTTTTTTGCAGTTACTTAATGGTCTATATGCACAGCTAATGTTTTTCAGCAAATGATGACCTTCTGGTGAAATGTTTGTGACATTTCAATTTCATAGAGTTCCTTTTACAGCATCAATGATGTTATTCAAATATAATCAGTTAAAGAGACCTTTTTTTATTGATTAAACGAGAGTACAGAATTATACATAAAACGGTATACAAGGGAATTAACAACAAAAATTGATCATGTACATAAGTATTTTTCCAACAGTTGGGATGTCTAAATAGCTTTGGTATTACTCTGTATAGAAGTATCAGGAAATAATACAATTTTTTAAGATCAATGAAAAACAGTTTACAAGTCCGCATACATTTTTTGTGGATGTGGTACTTAAGAATTAAAATTAAAAAGAAAATGTATAAGATTTTTTGTTATTTTGTCCATTTCCAATAATCCAGAGTTGCAATCTATAAATAAATAACATTTTACCAGTTATATTGATAGATTTATAAAACACTTTAAAAGTAATATGGAAACTTGGGGCCAAAACCGTTTGTGTAACTGCAACTGAAAAATAAATTAAATTGTTTCTGGTTCCATTTTACAAAAACAAAACAAGGGTTAAAAACCTTCTATAAACCTGATAATAAAATCATTGCATAGATAGTATCTGCAGTATTTTAAAATTTGTTTATTTTACTTTATTGAGAATTATGTATTATATCTGACAAGATTTTTTGGAGAGGGGTCTGGCTGCAGACTCGGTGCAGATGCAATCTGAATTGTATCCAATGCTTTTTAATTGGCTCACCTAACCCCACCCCTAACCCTTCTCGTCACAGTAACGTCACCCCATTCAGCGCATTGTGTCTGACATTGCATCTTTGAGCGATGCAGTTTCAGTTTGCATCATAAAGGCTGTGTCCAGACTATTGGATTTTTTGGGGGAAAAAAGTATGAAGGGAATTCTTGTTTTCATTTAACCATTGCGAATGCCTAAATCTCTTACATGATTTAATAAGTCTGTAACAAAAATGAATCCTTTTTAACATAACCATTCCAAAATATGCACTTGTTTTTGAATAAAATATACTGATTGTCCCAGATAATACATGAATGGGGGGAAGTTATGCTTATAAATCAGTTTCCATGTGTTCAAGGCTTGTTTATGAAAATTGGACATAATAGGAATTTAAGAACACTTAAAATCACAAGTTAGTAAAAAGTGTAGGCCACCACATCAGTTAAACAGACTTACGCATCCATGTGGTTGTTAAAGCGTAAAAACAGATGAAAGACACATTAGCAGCGGGCTGGTGCAAAAACTCCATTGCAAATACTGGGGTAAAATTAATTTCTATATTTTAAAGACATGACGCGAAAAAATAGAAGTTAATGCAGTGCTTCTTGTTTGGTCTGATACACTTTATATTGTATCTCAGCCAGGCAGTGAAGATCGCTGTGTTTTTTTATTTTTATTTAAGAAATCAGATCTGAAACATGGCGATTATCTATGAGATGACAATTTACCGGAAGCCCTAGGGCTGGCTGACTAAAATTAAAAGTCCGTGTAAATATACTCCTTTGAGCGTTTTAAGTCACATTTAAAAACATTGTCAGAATGTCTTCCAATTATAATGTGCAAGATGAAAGCTGCTGACTATTACACGCTTTTTAAAGGACAGATAAATGGGCGCTGCTAAAGAAACTTAACATTCCCTCCACCGAACATAGTAGCCTGCTGATTTTATTAGTTTGATTTACTTTCCTCAAACTGAGTGTTTGACGCGCATGCGCGGCATTGCGCGCTCACCAAACGAGGCTCAAACAAGTCTGTGAAGTTTACTACAGTGCAGTCTGAGGATCTTTTTCGCCGTTTCAAAATGAAGATACTTGCTTGAAGCCAAGGGTATATCCGTAAAATGTAAGTTAAGGGTTGTGGAAACATTTCTCAAACGTATTTACAGCACAGTTTACAGTAAACTGTAGGCCTATGCTACTTTGTTTGTTTGAAGCGTTCAAAGTTTCGGACAACTTGGAGGCTCAGTTAGAGACTATGGTAAGTTTGCAGATGTTTTGTATAATTAAAACAACGTTTTCCACTGTATTGCAAGTGATAAAATAAGCTTTTTCTAAAATTCGAGTCAATTAAACCCTTTGATTTGAAAATGTATAGGCTGGCGGCACCTGCTGGCCAAAACATTGTAAATAAAACATGTTTTGGACAGCCTCATTCCTGAATTCTCCATTAAAATGGCTATTTTAATTGCATTTTTATTGATTTTAATAGTCACAAAAAAGATATGCATAGACTGTAGTCTCAAATATACGTCATTTGTTTATATATCATAGCAATGTAATTTCAATAATCTCATATGTTAACTTGAATAGTACATCATGCACAGGCATAAACATAGGCATGTAGCTATAATTTCTTTACTCACAAATTTCTTGCTGCTGTATTTTTTTGTTTAGAGGAAAACACACTGGACATAGCTATATATTAACAACCAATATATCATGGATATGTGATTATATAGTTATATAATCAAGCTCTGCACCACTGATTCGAATTTTGAAAACAATTCATTCAATGTTTCAGTTTCAGCTGCAGGAGTTCAAGTGATGTCGGTCCTACCTGACTGATGACAGCTGCAAGTCTTTCTGCCTCCAAACTTTCCTTTTCTCTCTCCCTCTGCTTCCTTTGTTTCTCTGAAAGTCTCTTGGAGTTGTAGTAGAATTCAATACACTGTGATACTGACTTTGTTCTTACCTGAAAGTATAAAGATGCCAAATCGCAAATGTGATCGCTAGAATTCGGTGACTTAGAGATTTAAATAGTCAACGCTTTACCATTTTGTGTATAAAGGAGAAGTCTTTGCCATAAATTGCGAATGCTTTATGGAACATTTTCTGTTCATTTGGAGTCCAGATATCCTTGCCTAGATGGAAACAGAATTAGTCTTATTTCACAACATACAGTGCTCAGCGTATATACTGTAAGTACACCCCTCACAAATCTATTTTTTAGATATATACATGCAAAATAGTACATGTGTGCATATACATTAGATTAGTCAGTACTGAAGCCAAATCTGGAGCTTATCTAACAAAATTACTTATGATAACCGTCCAAAAACTAGTACATCCAAATTTATATATTATAGAAAAATATTAAACACAAATTCAAAAAGAGGAAAAATCAAGAGATTAGAGAAAGATTAGAAAAAAAATTTCATTTGTAGGTTGTAATAAATATATTTTTTGTGCAATAGTTTGCTTGAATTTAATTGCATTAACTTTTCATTTCTAAATATTTCTGGTGACTAAAATATTATTTAATTAAATACAATATATCTGTTTAATACATCTGTTTTGTTAAATTGCACCAAATTACATTGCCTATATTTACTGACACGTGGATTAAAATTTCTTTTTCAAAATGGGGTGTACTCAATTACGCTGAGCACTGTGTTGGCTTAATGTTTATGTGAATCTAGAACCCATCAGGTGTTTACCAGAATAGTGATAGTTTTCTGATGGAGGGGAGTTTGTAAACAACAGCATCTCCAGCGCTGCCTGTTGAATGAAGTGTTGGTGGAGATGGAGATCAGGAGAAAGATATTACATTGTTTTGTTTATATTATAAATATATATTACTGTTGACATTTAGAAAAGGTAATTTCAAGTAATGCATAAATATATAGATAGTAATTAATAAATGTTGTTCTTACGAGTATGTCTCCTTGGCAGCAAGAAAGGCTATGAAGAGCAAGCTCCAAGTTGGCGCCACCTCCTGGCAGAACACTGGAGGCACTCAGGTCAAGAAGATTCTCCACTGAGGTTTGAAATAACTCATTAATGCATTTTCTAGAAACTGTTGTTTTAAAAGTAGCTGTGATGTGTTATTTTGATTACCATGCTGTAAGAGGATGTCATGTTCCTCTAACTCCACCCAAGGTTTCCATAATAACTCCTCCCGGACTAGTTCCTCTGAATGCATGCCGTGTTCACTTTCAGTTATTAGATCTGGTATCTCCACTTGATACTCTGGGCCAATATTTATGCACCTTGGGTGTGAATTAATAGAAAGAAAAATGTCTCAAATTTGACATATGGATTCACCAAAACAAGAACAACAATGTTTGACAATACTTAAAAGTTTTTTTACAGATCAATTGTCATTTAATTTTATCTTTTCAGACATCATATTAAGTATGAGGTTTATGATGATATCAAGCTTTCTAGTTGCAAGGTAATTGCTGAAGCTTTTATTGTGGGAAATTGTATTGTGTTGATTTAAGCTGCTAAAAAGATTACTCATAACTAGTGCAATTTTTTTTTTAGATTTTTGCGGAGAATTTTGTAAAAAAAAAAAAAAAAAATCTGTGGATTTATGCTGAATGATTTTGGGAGTATTGAAACCAAAAAGTTAATATATGAAATAAAAAAAAACATCTTTTTAACTTTTATATAATGTTTACAATGCAAATTTAATTGTATTATTGTAAATGAATGACATGAACATTTTCTTATTAGTCAATAAGATCACTGAAATTAATTTAAAAGCTGAATAAATATAAAATTTGCACACATTTACACTAGTAATTAAATTGACTCAAAGATGGGCTAAAAATCTCCGGATTTCTGCATGCGCAGATTCTGTGTGTGCCCACTCAAAACCTTATAACAGGTATAATTAATAACAAAAATTCATTCATTGTCATTCGGCTTTCATTTTAGAGTTTGCCACAGTGGAATAAGCCATCAACTATCCCAGCATATGTTTTATAAAGTGGATGCCCTTCCAGCAACAACACAGTACTGGAAAACACCTACACACTCATTGGCACACACAACCAATTATGTTTACCCTGTTGCTGTGAGGCAACAGTGCTAACCTCTGAATTGTTTCATTGTGTATATACATGATCAAAGTAAACAAATACTTCAACCAAATGAAATTGCAGAAAGATTATAAAGTTGGTAAAATAGGAAAAGCTTTACAGTACAGTTTCATTATTATTTATTGAAATCAACAATAAGAAAAAGCCAGATTTATTACTGTTAATGTTAATATTATCTTACAGAAATGTATTATTTAAAAACTACATTTAATAAAATATATACAGTTCAAGTCAGAATTATTCGCCCTCCTGAATTATTAGCCTCATGTATATTTTTCCCTAATTTCTGTTTAACAGAGAGAATATTTTTTAACACATTTCTAAACATAATAGGTTTAATAGCTCATTTCTAATAAATGATTTATTTTCTCTTTGCCATGATGACAATAAATAATATTTTACTAGATATTTTTCTAGTATTCAGCATAAAATGCCACTTAAAGGCTTAACTAGGTTAATTAGACAAGTTAGGGTAATTAATAAAAGGGCAAATAATTGTACAGCTGTGTTTTGTTCTGTAGAAAAAAAATGCTAAAGAGAGCTAATAGTTTTGACCTAAAAATGTTTTTTTTAAATTTAAAACTGCTTTTATTCTAGCCGAAATACAACAAATAACACTTTCTCCAGAGGACAAAATATTATCAGACATACTGAGAAAAATTCCTTGATCTGTTAAACATCATTTGGGAAATATTTGTAAAAAGAAAAAACTAATTCACAGGGGGGTGAATAATATTGACTTCAATTGTATGACTTGTAATCAGATTAAACCTATGATTTTGCTGTTCCAAAATATTAGAATTTTTTTTCCTAAAATAAAATATATTGTGTTCAAAGGGGAAAAAGTATTTTTTTTTTTTTACCCAGACATTTAAAAAGACAATATTTTAAAGCAGTAATCACAGTACCGTGAAACTGATATTTTTATCCAAGGTTTTCATACCATCAGAATCTTATACCTGGCCAGGCCTAACAATATATTGGATTATTAATTATCGGCATATGTTTATTAAATACAAACAGATTTTTAAAGACAAGACTGACACAAACAGTCAACTTAAACTGAAAAGCAGCAGAAAACTATTAAATGCGTCTAACCTTTGTGAATCCTCATCTTTGCTCTCGTTTGTCCACAGTGCTCTGTTTTCCACAGCCAAGGAAGACAGCAGGTTGCAGAAGAGCCCTGTGCCACTGCGTGTCGGGTTCAGCATTGGAGGTGGCGTATAGTGAGATATAGTTTCTTCCCAGTTCTTCATGAGCTCCCTGCTCAGCTGGATCACACTGCTGAAAGGCACTCCAGTATAGACAGAACAGGGAACATTCTACACGAGACAACAGGAAAACACAAAGCTGCAAGTGAGTGATGATGCATAGCCTATCAAATTTAAACAACTCAAAACAAGATATTAGTAACTTTTCAGTTCTTTCTGATTTTCATATATATATATATATATATATATATATATATATATATATATATATATATATATATATATACATATATATATATATATATATAATATATGTATTGCGTGATCTACTTTTTGTTTTGTTATATACATGTATATGTGTATATATATATATATATATATATATATATATATATATATATATATATATACACATTTATATATACAATGTTTTAAAATTTTTGAGGGAATGGGCTATATGATTAGAAAGTGATTTTCAGCCACAGATAAACTTCCGGTAGAGCTGTGAACCTACACTGGTCTCAAGGTTCGGTTACAATTATCATGCCATCGATTCGGTTCAATTCGATATTTCGGTGCATCACGGTGCATTGATGGTGCTTTTCATACACAGTTTTATATTTTCTTCACAGCAGCAGTTCTTGTATTAAAATGTATGAATATATTCATATTTATATACTATTTGTAATACAATTTTGTCATTTTAAATAAGCAGCGGCGATCACAGTTGTGCACTGTGTGTGAGTGTGTGAGTGTGTGAGTGAGTGAGTGAGTGAGTGAGAGAGAGAGAGAGAGAAATGGAGTACTTTCATTCTCTCTATCTCCATGAAATAGGGGCTTTTTCTGTTAAATTCAGTGAAAGTCTGATCCAGCAAACACACAATGTGAAATTGTGCACAGTTTATGAGTTTTAAGTAGTTGGAGTGTTGTAAATACTCGCGCTCGCCTCCTTCACGACTGCGCATATGAGGTAAATGACGTCAGTAATAACCGGTTATGGTTATTACTGAACCGATACCGAAGAGTCTACATCGCGGTGCACCGAAGAAACTATTAATTTTGACACCCCTAACATCCGGTAAAAGATAATGTGAATATTTTAAATTTCATAAGGTTTCTTTTACAACACTGACAGTATAATTTAAAATACAATTAGTTAAACAGACTTAAGCTTTCATTTAGTTGTTTAAGCGTAAAAAGAGAGCAGCAGGCGAGCACAGAAACTCCATTAAAAATATTGAGGTAAAATAAATTTCCATTTTTTAAAGACATGGAATGGAACAAGGGAATTTAATTTAGTTCTTTTTGTCTTGTCTGAGACCCACTTTATACCGTATATCAATCAGGCAGTGAAGATTATTTGTTTTTTAAAGAAACCAGATTAAACACTGCAATTTATAATGGCATGACAGTTCACCAGAAGTTCTTGAGCTGGCTTACTGAAAATTAAAATCTCTATTCAAACATTTTTGAAAGAAGTCTCTTGCATTTAGTTTTCATATTTTATTTTAGGTGTTTTTAACTTGTACTACAGAAATCAAAATCAAACATACCAAAATAAATAATAAATTAAAATAAATATTAGTAATAAAAAATAACAGTGCTTTTCATAGGTTTGAAATGTACTTGGATTGAAACACCACTTATCTACATCACAAAAATAATAATAGTTGGTATGTGTGACAAACAAAACATTATTAATTTTCAACAATAATATTATTTTATTATGACACTGTTATACACGGTTTCTTTTCAATGGGTAAAAGTAAAAAAAAGACTGTTGATATAAAAAAGAAAATGACTATTTCTCTTTTATGCTATTCAGGAGCCATGTGCACCCACTGACAAGTAGAATCTGCTTGTCTGTCTTTTAAGTTCAAAGCAAACTTGAATGCCAAAGCATTTTAGATATGTATATAAAATAGCCTATGTAATGTAGCCTAATAACTTCATCAAATTAATAAAACTGTGCGTACACAGCCAGTTGCGAAGACAAGCGGAAGTAGGCTTAAGTAAAAGGGTAATGCAAAAATGCATACAATTAACAACAGCTTTAGAAAACAAGAGATTTAGAAACCCGACTGGACTTATACCAAGAAGGCATGTCTCTGTGGGTCTGCAGAGCATGAGACGGTCTGTGGGAGTGTTGACAGGTCTTGAGCACACTGAACTAAACAGCTAAATGAGAGAAGATTTTCTACTACTTCCTCGATCACAGATTTTTGATTTAATTAGGCTGATAAAAAAATTGTGTAAAAGAATATTTATGTGTGTACAAATATATAAGAGTATGTGTTTGTGTATACACACACAAAAATATAAGTAAATGCATGTACACGCATTATAAAAGTACATCAAATAACAACAACGATATATCAATAGCAGGTGATACTTCTTTACTTCTTTCTGGAATCCTACATGGGGATTCCAAATTAAAAAAAAGTTTTCAGGTTTTCTCTTGATTGTATAAGTTTATTCAAATTTTCTAACCACTACTAAACAAATCCTGCAACCATTGGCCAAAACGAAGGGTTTCTGTATTTTTCCAAAAACGAGCCATAATAAGTTTTGCATGCAATAAGCAGAAAGTAAAAAAAAAAATCTTTCCTGAGCTAGTAAAAGTGCTTGTGACAAGAAAAATATTTGGAATACACAGTAGAAAACGTAGACATCTGGGCATATCATATTTTAATAGCATGGATAAAAAGCATAGAATTTTCTCCCAAAAATGTTCAACCAAAGGACACTTCCGTAAACAATTATACGCATTGATCAGGAATATTTGGATTGAATTTGTAATTCTGGAGTTATTTGTATTCTTATATTTCATTTACATTGCAGAAGTTTGAATGATTTATTAATTGTCTGGGTCTGTGCCTTTAGACAGATACTGTGCCTTTCATCTACTGTGATACTCTTTCACATCTTGAATTCGCGCCACTTTTATTTTCTGTATGTTCTTTGCTTTGGTAAAAATTAATCTGTAAAATAAAGAATTTTGCCCACCCCATCAAACGTTTTAAAGTAATGTATTTTAAATAGGATAAATCTCAAGAAATGTTTTGTATTAGGTTGGTTTGAAATGATCAAAGTGCTGATTTTCTTTGTAGAAACCACAATACACTTTTTTCCCAGACAAACAGAATTTTCTGAAATATGTTTACAATTATTCATTAACAAATGATTTTTAGTATTCAAGTCGCTTATTTCATAAAAAGTCAATAATTAAGAGAAGTGCTTGCAATACAAAGTTTCAGATGTTGTTTAAAGCAAGCTAAAAAAAGAGAGCGATTAAGGAAACGCAGTTTTCAAAGAAAACAACATTTTCTTCATACATTAAAATGCACCATGCTTTTGTGTGATTTTAGCAAAAATAATGATACTAATAATAATGATAATAATATAATGCATTTTAAGGATGACACAACAAAAATGCAAGTTATAGAAAATACAAAACAATTTGTATTTAGAACAAAATAGATTTTTTTTTAGGAATCACTGCAGCCCCAGACCCATTTTTACATTTAAATCAAAATAAAGCATTTAATCATTTAAAACTTTTAAAATTATAGAATTTAGTATGATCATATATTATATATTTTCAATAAGTACGGATTAGAATAAGTATGTACTTAGTGTTTGTTTTAACCCTAATATACCATTTATATAGATGTAGACATGGTTAGGAAGATCTGCTGCAGGTCAAAACAAGCATCAGAATGGGGAAGAAAGGTGATTTAAGTGACTTTGAACGTGGCATGGTTGTTGGTGCCAGATGGGCTGGTCTGAGTATTTCAGAAACTGCTGATCTATTGGGATTTTCACGCACAACCATCTTTAGGGTTTACAGAGAATGGTTCGAAAAAAGACCACACTGGGTGCCACTCCTGTCAGCTAAGAACAAGAAACTGAGGCTACAATTCGCATAGGCTCACCAAAATTGGACATAGAAGATTGAAAAAATGTTGCCTGGTCTGATAAGTCTCAATTTCTGCTGCTGGATTCAGATGGTAGGGTCAAAATTTGGCTTAATGCTGTCATGTCAATATTGACCAAAATTGGACGAACATTTCCAGTACTTTGTTGAGTCTATGCCATGAAGGATTAAGGCAGTTCTAAAGACAAAAGGGTGGTCCAACCTGCTACTAGTTAAGTGTACCTAATTAAGTGGCCAGTAAGTGTATTATATATTAAAGGAAAACTGTTTAATGTGTATACATCATTTCCTCCCCTCAAGGGTTATACAATAAAGTAGCATTTTGTGCAGTTGAGATGATTTCTATGCATAAAAAAACACTTTTGTCAATTAAACTTTAATGCAGATGCCAAATGTCTTTGACCAAAATATGTATATTCCAGAAAAACTAAATTGATTGGCAAATAATTGGTCTCATACCTGTGTGCTGGAGCAACCCAGTGGTTTTTCCGTGGACTCAGAACTGAAGTTCAGTCCACAGCCGAACCGTGATCCATCTCCTGGCACTGAAACCTGCATTTGGAGACTGGCCTGGTGCAGAGAAGGTCCAAAAGAATGAGATGATTGTCCCATCTATCAATATGAAAAAAGTAATTATATGTACAATGATTTATTTAAACATTGCTTGCTGGCATAATCAGCTAAAAGTACATCTACAAATGATTGTGAAGCTATCAATCTAATAGGCTCAGCAAAGTCCAAATGTGCAGCCGACACACCTGAGGCCATGATATGTGATCTTCGGATGTCCCAGGCTCGTGACTCAGCTGTTGCTGCAAGCAGGACTGAGGTTGATGATGTTGAGCCAGGGAAGGGTTAAGGGACATTTGCAATGAACAGTCTAAAAATGAAAAACATCGAAAACCACAGTTCAGATCTGAAAATGGACACATTTTAAAACTGATCACTACACAAAACATGATTATTTTACTCGTACCTTTTTGCACAGAGTTTACTTGTTTCAGATGAGGCCCTCCGGGCTCTGAGTAAACCATAGAGGAGTTTGGATCTTGTGTAAGGTGCTGCGTTAAGTCCATGCCGTCGTTGTCATCAGCTTGTAGCTGGAGCCAAATGGGTTGATTAAACCTGCCAGTAGAGGGCGAAGGTAGAGAAGGAAAGAACTGCAGCGCTCCATCTGCCTGTGTTTGTATTTGTGATTGGCTCAAGATCTGACCAGGCAAGAAGTGTTGAGGTCGTTTGGGAGGAGAGAAGGATGAAGGAGGCAGGGGTGTCGGAGGTGGACTGAGAACCAGAGGGAAGGAGAGCGCATGCGATGGAGGAGTAGTATTGCTGAAGCCGATCTGCTCTCCTCCGCTTAGCATTCGTGAAGTGCTACGACTACAAAACGCCTCAGAGAAAGAATCCAGCTTTTGCTGTTGATGCCCGGTTGTTTCATACCTCTCCGCAGCCTCCTGTTGGTGGCAGTGAGAGTTCCAGTCGGGCTCATATACTCCAGCTTGTGCCTTGTTCCTGTTGAGTACCATTGAGGGCACTGGTGATGTATTCCCCCAATAAGCAGCGCTCCCTGATTGATCTACTCCATTAAGAGTGCTCCCAGTGCGCTCTTCACACTGGACCTCAAATGGACTGAGCCCAGAAATTGAACCTTGTTGGTAGAGGCTGTGGTTTGACCTTTGACCTTCAGCATGAGGTCGAAACATAGGAGCGAAGGAGAGCGACTCTGGATCAGGAGATGTATGGTCAGCCATGTGTTGTGTTGCAAACGGCTTCCTCAAGTTAAAGGGCACTCATAGCATCTGAGAACTGAAAAGGCACACAAAGACTATCAGAAATCATCTAAAGCCTTTCAACCTCACGAACGTTAGTGAACCAAACCACATGAACAAGTACAAGGAGCTGTTTTTCTCAACTGCTTAGTAGTTTGTTTTCATCTTGGTCTTTTTTTAGACAATAATGCACAGAGTGGTACGACAACAGTACAACAAAGTAAAACAGACATGCACAAGCCGAAATGTCAACAAGCATCAATCAGAAGGTGACAAACAGCCTTTGAGTTGCTTTTTACTTTCTCTCTCATCCTTCTTCCTCGCTCTTTTTTTACACTCACCCATGATTGTCTCCCTCGGTCCATACCTGTTGCTTTAGTTCGTGTGCTATCTGTTAATGTCGACTAGTGAGCTGTGTCTCCAGCTACCGAAATTAAAATACAGCCACATGTGAAAGCAGGCTCTGCCTCTTTCTCACTTCTGCGCAAACGCATCATACTTGAACGTGAAAACACTTTCTCACACACACTTGTTTCACAGGTGCCACCGATCAAAAAGGTAATAGAGTCCCCCCCCCTTTAAAACCCTGAACCGAAAGCCACATCCTGAGGAAATAGTCACGGATCTCCCTCTATCTCTCTCTTTCTGCATCTCCCTCCCTCTTCTGTGTTGCTCTCCTCCTTACCCTTCTTTCCTTTTCAGTCTATTTTTATCTCTTCTCCTACATCACAAGCATACTCACAGTCTCCCATAGACTATCATCTCTTCTTGGTCCAACGAGGATCTCAATCATGGTGGACGGTAGAGCAAACACCAAAATGACGCCTGAATCCACCGCAACCCAACTTTTCTTTACTTTTTAAAACGATTAACAAAAGCTGCAAGATGAAAGCGTGCTGTCTTCAGTGAAGTTGGAAGGCTGAGAGACCTTTTGGGCTTATTGTTCTGGCGTTTCAGAGTGTTATCTTAAGATTTGCATCTGTTGTGGTTAGTGACTTGAGTGTAAAGAACGTAAGAGTTGTCTAACTGGCAGGTAAAGCGTGGGTGTTCGTGTAAGTGTATACGACATGAGTGAGAGCTTCCTGTCGGGTGTGAGAGTGTCGGTCAGAATAAGAACATGTTTGTGAACTTTCTCATCTTTAGTTAAAGTGTTCGATGTTTAAATTAATTGCTTTATTTATTTTTTATTTTGCATGCATGCATATTTGTCTGAGTGTTTTTGTGCATGTGTTTGTGTGGGTGAAAAGAAGAACAGTGTTTACACCAGTGAGAAATTGTGGTTTCTCTAAAACATGTGACGGGATGTTGACCATGAAACAGCGACAGAGCAGGAAGTGGACAAGGGAAACCTCCGTACACCCCGCCTCCGCTCTCTAGCTCTTTCTACATGTGTATCCCTCTTATACAGTACCCACAATATAAAATCGTTTCCATACCACATATGCATTGTCTCTGCACCTCTATTTCCACCCACACACAGTGTTTCCCTCTCTTTTTCTTTGTGCTCTCTTTTTTTCTTGTTTCTCTCATGCTAAACTCTTAACCTGCTGTTCGAAATATAATATAATCAGGCATTTTTATTTTGAATGACAGGTCAATACTACAGGTCCACCCACCAACGTGTGTCATATCTCGGTCAGATGCATTACACTCTGAATCTGGACGGCCCACGCACGGGTTGTAGGTTTGTCAGTTTGGCTGATGAGGGTGATGTTAATTCAGCGGTGAGTACAGTATGAATGTACCTGCAGGAGTCACCTACACAAACCTCACTATTAGCATAATGTGGGTGGAACATTAAAGGTGTAAGACAATACACAAAGCAGACGGATTCCTGGATCATAAAAAGTGCTATTTTTATTTTACGCTCGCATGCTATTTAGTTTTTAATCTTTTTTTTGTTGCCTGCTTTTTTTTCCTTAAAGCACCATTTATTTTTACTTTAATTGATTTCTTCAGGTAATCTGAGAAAAACTTAATTTTAACCATCCTACAGTTCTTTTTTGTGTGCATATTTAATCATTTAAAATTTGAACTTAAAAAGTGGGGTGACGGTAAAGGGGGACTGAAACAACATAGGATATAATTGATGGAAAGAGGAGTGTGGAGGCTGTTTCTAGTTTTCTGTCAGATGTGTGAAAGAGTGAACAGAGGAGGGGGAAGGCAGCAGAGTGGTTTGGACTTTTTTTTTCCTCTCTTTCTTTATCATTCTATCAAACCGTTTATCTTATTTACGAGACAGACTTTGTAAGTGCATGCAAAGAGTTCACAGATAAATGCGTTGACAAATGTAGGAAGTGGTGAGAAAGGAATGAGGAGAGCTTAGTCCTACTGAATGAATCCTGCAGTTTTGGGTTATGTAAATAAATAAATGTGGTTTTTTTTAAAGTGCAAATTGTGTCCCCAAAAGATACAGTCTCTAGCAAGTTTAGACTTCGGGCCCTTTATAACTTCTCTCCTGAATGATGCAAAGTGAAATGCACTGATGATATATTTTAGGAGGAAAAGTTCATGTGTTTGCGCTTCAGCAAAATCAGAAAATGAATTGCGTGTTAAGTTACTTTCCACAAAATTTGAGGAGTCACAATTTCCAAACAAATACAATAGAACGCATGTGGCCGTAAGTCTGGGACGAGAATTACTGGAACTTATTGGCTGCTCGTATTGCGTGAAGTTCTTTATTTGTACTGGATAAAAGGGATCAAAGCTAAATTGCTAAATATAAATGTAAAATTCTGTTTCTGACACATATAATATATACCATAATAATAATATATAAATATATACATATTTTATATAGTTTTGACAGCTCTATTACTTAATTAGTTGGGTTTTCCTGTACTATAGGTACATGTATAGCATTTTATCCAGTCGGCCCATACATAAATTAAATCAGTTTTAAAACTCCCAAATTCTGAATATTATATGTAGACCTGTCACGATATCTATTTTTCGCGATGATTTTTTTGCGGTTAAATATATTGCGATGAATGACATTATTGTCATTTTAAGACCATTCAGAATGACAAAATAATATCACAATGCAAGTAAACTCTTCCAAAGAACACATAATATTTTATTCTTAACAATATTTAATTTAATTATAGTCATTTTAACAACTTTATAATTAGAGATTGGAATCAGAATGTGAAAATGTATATATCCTAAACAAATAAATAATAATAAATGTTAACAAAAAAGTGCAAGGTAAAAAGTAACAGAGGCTGCGATATCTGCTACCAGATCTATTTTTAGTTATCAGGCACCCACATGAAAATATACTACAGTAAATTATAGTAAATACTGTAGTGTTTTTTTAACCATACTCACACTGACACCTCCAGTAGAGATGGAGAGGTTCACAATTAGCTTAAATGTTGCTAGATTTGGTTTTTATGTATGAGCAATGTATATTGCATCAGCAAAAATTATTGAGGTCATGTCCATGTGTTGTACGATAAGTCGATATTGATTATTGTGATAGGCCAATTTATGTGCAAATACAAAAGTTGATGAAAATGAAAAAAAATAACAGTTTGGATTATTTTAATAATATATTTTGCAGGGGTTCTGCTGTAAATTTCAATATTAAAATTATCTAATATAAAAATAACAGTAATGAGGTCAACTCTTTCTGTATTTCTCTGGAACACTGCAGCGTCATCAATATAATGATTATTGGCAGGCATGTTCCACATACTTATGAATTACAATTATTATATGGCGTTTCTTTCATTGTTGTTGTTGCTGCTTCATTAAAAAAATAAATATAGTGTTTTTAAAAGCTGTTTCATATGTTCGCCACGAAAGCCTAAATTCTGATGCACATAGCATCAATGAAACATCCTCAGGAAAGTCTTGAACTTTCACACCATATCCAGTATTTGTCTGTAAGTATGAAATCTAATAAGTAAAGCTAACTGACATCATGGTTTATAGATTTTGTTTATATTAAGCTGGTTATTCAGTACTTGAAAGTGGTGCCCTCAGAGGACATTCTTACAATATTTGCTTTGATCACTGTAATTAAACCTTCGAAATATTGGAGCATTATATTGGAAAGAAGAAAACTCTACATTGATTAAAAGTATTTATCTGTCAAATTATTCGAAAAAACATGTAAATAAAGACAACTTTGAATATGAGTTTTTATCATCATTATAAAAAATGCAGATAAAGTGCTCAGCGTATACAAGTACACCCCTCACAAATCACTCATTTAAATGAATTTTTTCTATAGGATGCTTGCTTTACAATATTACATTTGTGCATATACATTAGATTAGTCAGACTGGAGCTAATCTAACAAAATAATGTACAATAATAATCTAAAAATTTGTAGCTCAAATTTATATGTTAGGGGAAATTATTCAATATTTAAAAAAAGAAAAAAAAAATCTAGAGAATCAAAAAGTGTATACAATTTTGTTGAAATTTTATAGTTTGTAATTATTTCCCCAATATTTTGCATGAATGTAAAATGTATTTTTGTTCTATTTCTAAAGATGTTTGGTGACTAAAGATTAATAAAATATTACTTTATTAAATATATATTTTTAATAATTCTGTTTTGTGTAAATGCATCAAAATACATTACCTTTATTCTCTGAGAAATTGACTTTTTTTTTTAAATGGGATGTACTCATTTATGCTGAGCACTGTATCAAAAATCTCACATTAAATGATTTATACACTGACTACAGTGAGATTTATATTTGACCATTTCTCTCCTGCACTTTTATAAAATAATTTCTTGAATTTCTTGCTTGATTACAAATGAAGCAATTAAAAATGTGGAACACAAACAAAAGATTTGATCTTTCCAAGCAGAACTAGACATTATGACAGGAAAAAGCATGTCCTATATAATATATTGATATTATATTGGTGTACATTTTTCCCAAAGATGCAAATCCCTTTTTACCATACATATCCATTACCATACTGATATTGAAATTTTTTTCACAGTCAAATAATATAGCGCATTCATACACTCTAAAATGCGGGGGTTTTTAAAACCTAAATTTGGTTAAAATCTGGACAAAACCAACTGCTGGATTAAAGTTAAATAAAAAACATGGTTAATTAAAAAGGTCAATATAAACACGCAATGACTGTAAAGGGATCTTTTAAAGGTAAAACTGTAAAATCAAACCCATTTACAGTTTACATAAATCAAGTAATATCATATACCACCAATAATTGATGTAAAATAGATGTTCTTAGTGATTATAGCTGAACTATACTGAACTTTATTTTATTAATAATAAAAATGGTTTTTGAAGTGCATTGCCATTAAAATTTGACCTAACGCATTTTACTTAGCATATCGGTCTCAAAGGCCATTACATTTATTTTAAATGCATTTATCCAATATAAAAATTGAATGTGCTATTATTGCAGTTTGAGTTTAAGTTTGAGCATCATGAGTTTGGAGTTTGAAACAGCTTGCCTAACCCCAGCGTAAACACTGATTTCTGTTGAATTGAAAGGAGCGTCACTTATGCTTATTAAAGCTAAATTTGGCCGCAGTGATACAGGAAACAGGCCTTTGGTGGATGTGAACTTCCTCTCATATTAAAGAAGTCACTTAAATTATTCATAGACAAATTATTACTATTCTATGAGTAGGGGGCGTCCTGTCAAGTCTTAATAAATTTGTTTTCATTTGTTTGTATATTTTTGTTGTAGTGTAAACATTGAAAATTGTGGCTAATTGTTTTTGTGTATATTTCCAGGAATGAGCATCGCATGGATTAGCGATCTTCAGCATCGCATCATGAGGTGACTGGATGAAATTATTTGTCAGGTGAGCTTCTTTGCATAAAAATGTAAATCTGAATTGATTTTCTCTACATTCGATATTCATCAATGAAAAACGTCACAATCATTTAAATATTATTGAAGGCCTGAGTTTTTTAAAATGATTTAGACGATGCAGTATCACAGCTACAGCAGTGACCAAAAACAATGTCAGGCCTAACAGTATTGTCATATTGTCGCTCAGATTTTTAAAAGAGTATTCTATATTTGGAGAGTATAAAATGCTTCCTCATGCACAATGCTTTTATCTGTTTCATTTATGGTTGCACAATAAAACCTGATTACTCAGAAATGAGCAGGAGAATGGCTGATAATCAAACATAAGAAAAAATATGGAATTTAAATTTGACCAATAATAATATAGGTATGTGCCAGAGTAGTTGGTGTTTCATTTGTCTGTGTCAATCCAAAGTAAAACAAAAAGGAATCATTTTAAAGTGAATGAGTGAGAAATAAGTCATAATGCAGCCCGTGTACACTTCTTTATTTTTAGGTTGTAAAGTCAAACCCATATTCTGTAATCATAATCTTAAATCCTGGAAAATCTTTCATCTCGCACTATTGTTTTCCTTATTCTGAAAGTCTTGATAGCACCATCGTTGCATTTTTCTTTTATTATTTCAGCAAATAGATTTGTGACAAATATTTGTTGTACTCTCCCATTCACTGTGCTCTGTGTTGATCTAACTGTGATTGATAATCCGTAAATGTCAATTACACTTTGGTTAGTTGCTGTTCAGATTATATTCCTCATATTTTGATGCTTATTAAACTTGTATGGTCATTAAGTGCAAATGCTCTGCAAATGACTGCTCTGGATCAGTTTTGGCCACAACTGCAGCACATTACTGTCCAATCAGTGTGTCAATGGAAGAGTCTTGCAAACATTTTATTGTTTGAGATTATCAGTACCATAATCATCAGTGCGACTATTTAATGCACATAAAAGCTGACCTACAAGAGGTGTCGGCTTGAAGTTACCCCTCAAAAAAGCTAAACATTAAATAAAAAAGATAAAGTTGGTTTGTGCACCGAACTGAGAAAGGTTTGTCGGACTGTTTTCACATGATTATGCGCTATATAATTCTGTTTTCGTGAGAAGGACTCACAAGCAAACATACTGTTATCAGATTATCAGACATTTAGACACGTTCTACATTGTCATTCACAATGTACAGAATGTCGCAGAAGCTACTATAAATTCTCAAGGCGTGAACTACTATTACTTTAAAATACTAGCACATTACTCAACGGAAAAACAAAGACAAACGTATTAAATGTAAAAAGTGATATCTTGTACAGCTTAAAATTCCACACAGTTTAATTCACGCTAACGTTTCTAGCATGTCCTCCATCCTAAATACTTTTCCTAAACTAGGCCTCAACACCAATGAAATCTTTCGTGCAGCTCACACATTCATGTTGCTCAGCTGAAATGATTTTTACGCAAGTCTGGTGCGATGCACAATCTTTCAAACACAAGTGAAACACTCCAGCATCGCTTTGCATCCACAATGTAAAAGCGAACAAGATGAGTGTGAGCAAAGCTAGCTCTATGTCTTACACAACTTTGTTTTCTGGATTTAAAAACATGTGCAATACTCTTCTGACATGCCTACTGTATATGTCAGGTTAAGCACTTGCTAACTTACTTCGCTCTCTGTTCTTTGCTGACTTGTTCATAAACAAAGTAAGATGTGACTTACCTTTCTGTTTTGAAGCGGAGGCCTGCTGGACAGTTGATCTCTGCGAGCTACATTTAAGCCTATGAGCACGAGTGAGTGAATGAAGGAGGGATGCACTGTTAAGGCTAGATAGACTGAAAGACATAGAGAGACTGCGGAGGCGTTGGTGATGGTTAACTTTTCGGTACGGCAATCTTCTCTTGGTTCCTCTGATCTTCTGAAGCCTTTGTCATTGTGATCCTGGAAACGAGTGAGAAAAAAAAACATCATACATCATAGAGAGAGAAAGAGAGAGAGAGAAAAAAATGGTGTTGCTCCGACAGACCTCAGAGGCAGCTCTCTCAGTTTGACAAAGTGCCTGTCCTTGGCCCTACTTTTTTCACTTTCTCTTTTTTTTATACATTGTTTATGTCATTGTTTTTTTATCACTTCTAAATACTGATTGGGAAGAAGAAAATCTACAAACTTGTGTCCTGTCAGTTGTAACATTTTTTGTTCCATGTTGTAGTTTATAACGTAGCTCAGTTTGTCTTCGAAACAACTAATTGAATGATATCAAAGATTGGAGGCTTTGCCATCGCATAAATCTAATATTTAAATCATATCATATTATATGTTATTTTAAAAATGTGGGGTTATTTGTTTAATACTCTTTAAAACAATTTGCATTTTAAGGTCTGGCAAGCCCAGAAGTTGTAAAATGAGTGTACATTGGTAAACCTCAGTGCTTACACTCTATGAATTAAATCAATAACAGTCAAAAAAAAAAAACCCTGGCTGCTTAATACAGTACATGACCAACCCAGACAACACAACGTTTTAGACTAGTAAAAATGGCAATAATATTCACACAAATAGCAGTGTTACATTTTCAATATAAGCCCCATAATGCAGTTTGAAAGCCTAAATACATGGAAAACAGCCTTGAACCATGTACAAACACTTTCTTTCTACTGACATAGTCGTACAACCAATAATTAACAGATTAATTTACAATATACTTTTAAACCACTACATTATTTTATAATAAATTAGGTAGTGATTATACAAGTAGGGCACAAAAGATTTTAATGTAAAAAAAAAAACATTACAGGTTTTTAGTCGAAAGAGAAAAATATAAAAAAATATGAGCCTAACAACAATATATACCTAAATTCAAAATTACAATGTGCATTTATGCATTACATGCTGCAAAACATCTTCTAGTAATGAGATATAATATAATGAATTATAATAGTATAGTAATAGGCTTTGGCACCGTGTTTTAGTTCATAGATTGAACCAAACATACTAAACATACATACGCGCTGTAGATCACCTATATCATAATATATTAGGAATGCTATTATACACATTACACATATATGCCATTTTATATATATATAGCTGTGATACAACGATGCTATTTTTTACTTTCAAACTTTAGGAATTAAAAAAAAAGTTTATATCCAAAAAATTACAAAAAAAAAAAAGTATTAAAAAAAAAAGAAACAACCACAAAAAATACACAATACAGTCAATAAAAAAGTTTTTTAAAAACCTATCCAAACATTTATAGTGCTTCTATATCAGGAGCAGTACTTAATGTATAAATTAATGTGGGATCACTTTTAAATGCCTTCTGGAACCTTTTCATTTTAGCTTTACTATATTTACATTTGATGTACAATAGGCTCTAAAATAAGTTATTTAAACATTATCTGTGAACATAAAAAATTATGAGCCAAAATATTTGCTTGACCACATAACTTACTACATGATTCTGAATTACAAGATGATGGACATCATCATAATAATAGTATTCATCATCATCATCATCATCATCATTCAAATCATTTTTAAAATGTGACCCAAATACTTTACTTTATTCACCAAATAGGCGAATAGAATAGAACATCACAGATGACTGATCAGCCCTTGTCCATCAGGATCTTATCAGGTTATACTTATTTCAATGTTAATTACTGGATTTTATTCTCACAAAAAAGATCTGTTGATTTGTGTCTTATTTGATTGGTTGGGCCAGTGGCTCCTTGGTTTTTATTGTAGCCTAGTTTCACAACATTTTATTTTTTTATATTTTTATTATTATTATTATTATTATTATTATTATTATTATTATTGGGAATATACACAATTACAGAATTTCGACAAGTATGTAAAGATCCTCCACATTTTATTTGTGCATACAAAATTAAACAGGATATTTCTTTCTATGATTATTAAATATGAGTATTTAATCGACCTTTTTCCACAACAATGTTATGACGTGTTTATCGGTCATCATAATCTTAAATTCTTAATTTTTTCATATGTAGATTTTTTTGAAAAAGCCTATACACATTTTTATGCATTCAAGTTTGTATTATATCATCTTTGCGTCAAATTACAAAAAAAAAATTAATTACCGCTTGTGCAAGGCATTTCAAATGCAGCATCTATAGGGCGGGACGGTAAATTTGACATTATTCTCTCGATCCTCTAGCTACCGTCATCAGTCTTGTACTATTGTTTTCTTTATTCTGAAAGTCTTGATAACACCATCGTAGAATTTTTCTTTGATTATTTCGGCAAATAGATTTGTGAAAAATATTTGTTGTACTTTCCCATTCAATGTGCTCTATGTTTATCTAACTGTGATGACTTCTGCTGCTGACAAACCTGGAATTGTGAAAAGGTCTAATATAGGTACTTAGTGTACATATGTAAAACATTGTCTAAAGTGACAGATTTTTTTTTATTACAGAAGGAAAAGAAAGAGAAAAATATATATACATAAACACAAACAAAATAAGTAAAAGTTTATATAAAATAAAATAATACCCCATACGCCACCCACCAAATGTTTCCGTCTGTTGGTGTACACCAATTGGAGAGGCCACTAGAAAACACGCATAGGATCTGTCAATAGATATAATTTAACTTTAACCAATATCCCCATCAAATGACTTTGTTCAACCTCTCCTCTCCAAGTACCTTATGAATGGTTTCCATATTTTAGAGAAAGTTTGTGTTTCTTATTTTGTACATGATACCGTATTCTTTCTAAACAAAGTGTTTTTGTGAGTTCACTGAGCCACAAGTTGAAAGAGGGAGGAGATTTATCTTTCCAGAGCGTTAGAAAATACGTGTTTGGCTGTCAAAAGGCCATGTCTCATAACTTTCTTACACAAACAAGCCCCCGGTTTCACAGACAAAGTTTAAGGCTAGTCCTCAACTAATATGCAAGTAGGCTGATTCAAATTAAGCACACTTGGACTGATTGATCTTAAAATATTTAATTGCCTTTGTTTTGTCTCAAGATGTACAGTAAACAAGAAATGATGTTTCTAAGGCAATCTTTTTCAAATGACTCAAATGACTCAATTAAAATGCATTTCAAGGCAAATAAATTTTTAAAGGCACATTTCACCCATAATTATAGCGCTGTCATCATTTGTTCTGAAGGTTCTATTGTCACCTTTATGTTGTCCCAAATGTTGGCTTTCTTCTGCTTAACACAATGGGCAATATTTTTAAGCATGTTTTGACTGTTCATGTGAATACAGTTAAAGTTAACGGGTTTCAAAGCAACATTTAACATTGATGAATGAAAATAAATAATAATAAATTATATATATATATATATATATATATATATATATATATACAGTTGAAGTCAGAATTATTAGCCCCGTTTTGATTTTTTTCTTCTTTTTTAAATATTTCCCAAATGAAGTTTGACAGAGCAAGGAAATTTTCACAGTGTTTCTGATAATATTTTTTCTTCTAGAAAAAGTCTTATTTGTTTTATTTTGGCTAGAATAAAAGCAGTTTTGAATTTTTTAAAAAGTATTTTTGGGACAAAATTATTAGCCCCTTTAAGCTAGTTTTTTTTCCGAGAGTCTACAGAACAAACCATCGTTATACAATAACTTAACTAATTACCCTAACCTGCCTAGTTCACCTTATTAACCTAGTTAAGCCTTTAAATGTCACTTTAAGCTGTATAGAAGTGTCTTAAAAATATCAAGTAAAATATTATTTACTGTCATCATGACAAAGATAAAATAAATCAGTTATTAGAAATAGGTTTTTAAAACTATTATGCTTAGAAATGTGCTGAAACAATCTGCCCTCCATTAAACAGAAATTAGGGAAAAAAATAAACAGCAGCGCTAATAATTCAGGGGGGCTAATAATTCTGACTTCAACTGTATATATATATATATATATATATATATATTACACAGTTGAAGTCAGAATTATTAGCCCCCCTTTGATTTTGATTTTTTTTTTTTTTATATTTCCCAAATGATGTTTAACAGAACAAGGACATTTTCACAGTATGTCTGATGTTTTTTTCCTGGGAAAGTCTTATTTGTTTTATTTTGGCTAGAATAAAAGCAGTTTTAAATTTTTTAAAAGCCATTTTAAGGACACAATTATTAGCCCCTTTAAGCTATATTTTTTTCTGATAGTCTGCAGAACAAATCATCGTTATACAATATCTTGCCTAATTACCCTAACCTGCCTTGTTACCCTAATTAACCTAGTTAAGCCTATAAATGTCACTAAGCTGTATAGAAGTGTTTTGAAAAATATCTAGTCAAATATTATTTACTGTCATCATGGCAAAGATAAATGAAATCAGTTATTATAGATACGTTTTTAAAACTATTATGTTCAGAAATGTGTTGAAAATAGAAATTGGGGGAAAAAATAAACAGGGTGCCAATAATTTAGGGGGGCTAATAATTCTGACTTCAACAGTGGTCAAGCATGCTCTGTAGTCAAGTTGAATAAAGTTAAAGTTGAATTATCGTGTAGAATTTTTTTTCTATAAAATATATTGTGAATAAAATTTGGGCACATTACAAATTCCATGTTGTCATTATCACATGACCTACCAGCATGAATTGTGTTGCTTAACTTGCTTTAAGATATTGTCTCCTGTGGCCCCATGGGATAGTGAAGTGTCCTTTGAATGCACACTTCAGAATCTCAAAGGAAGTTGTAGGCGATGTAGGTAATTCTGGTGTTTCTTGTCAGTTTTTCAGGTTTTTTTTTTTTTAAGATTTAGTTTTGCATTTTTGCTTTATTAGATAGGACATTAATCAGACAGGAAGTGAAGTGGGCGAGAGAGAGAGAGAGAGAGCGAGAGCGAGAGCGAGAGAAAGGGATATATCCTCAAGCAGAGATTCGAACTCAGGAGCTAGTATTTCAAATTTAGTTATTTATTTTTTTACTAAGTCAGACATACTTGCATAAATTT